AATTAGCCAGTTTAAATATGGTATTCCTAAAGCTCCACGTTTAGTCCAATTATTCTATGTTGTTGGGTTTTTTTTAATTCCTCACTAGAGTATGTTTTTTTCCATTGATTTCTATAGAGAGTGGAAGGGAGGGAGGAGAGGTGGGGAAAGAGGGAGAAACATCTACCTGAGAGAGAGACACATCAATTAGGCGCTTCCCACCACTACTGGTGCTGGGGAACCTGCAACTGAGGTAGGATGGCCTAGACTGGGAATTGAACCCAAGGGCTGATGTTCTAAACCACTGTGCAACTGGCCAGGGCCTTGTATGTTATTTTTTGATTCAAAGTTGTAGTCTGTATTTTTTCACAATAAACATTAAGAATGTTGGCGATGCCCTGGCCGGTTTGCTCAGTGGATAGAGCGTCGGCCTGCGGACTGAAAGGTCCCAGGTTCGATTCCAGTCAAGGGCATGTACCTTGGTTGCGGGCACATCCCCAGTAGGGGGTGTGCAGGAGGCAGCTGATCAATGTTTCTCTCTCATCGATGTTTCTAACTCTCTATCCCTCTCCCTTCCTCTCTGTAAAAAATCAATAAAATATATATATTTTTAAAAAGAATGTTGGCAATAGCAAAACAAAAACAATAATCAGATTAAAAAGTAGGCTAATGACTTGAATGGATATTTCTCCAGAGAAGACATACAAATGGCTAACAGGTCATCAGGGAAATGCCTCAAAACCACTGAGATACTACCTTAAACCTGTTGGCTATTACCAAAAAAGTAAAATATAGGAAGTATTTGTGAGGATGTGGAGAAACTGAAACACTTGTACGCGGTTGGGGGAAGTGTAAAGTGGTGCAGCTGCTGTGAAAAACAGTTTGGAGGTTCAGCAAACTGTAGAACTACCCTTATCACCCAGCAAGCCCACTTCTGGGCATTTAAACTAAGAAATTGAAATCAGGATCCCAAACAGATATTAGCACTCACATGTTCATTGCAGCACTACTGAGAATAGCCAAGGTGTGAAAACAACCTAAATGTCTATCAGTGGAAGAATGGGTAAAGAAAATGTGGTATATACATACAATGGAATATTTCTCAGCCTTAAAATCCTGCAATATGTGCCAACATAGATGAACCTTGAGGAAATTATGCTACGTGAAATAAGCTAAGTCACAAGACAAATGCATGATTCCACTCGTGAGATATGTAAACTAATCAGACCCATAGAAGCAAAGAGTAGAATAATGGTTGTTAGAACTGGGGAAGAGCAAATGGGGAGTTGTTAATCAGGTATAAAGTTTCAGTCATGCAAGATGAAAAAGTTCTAGAGGTCTGCTGTCTAACATTGTGCCTATATTTAACAGTACTGTACTGTCCTCTTAAGAGGGGAGATCTGTTAAGTGTTCTTACCACAATACATTTTTTTTTTAATGTTGGTGATACAACATTTCTTATGAATATGTCTGGTCAATAACAGTTACATGGTGCTCTCCAATATAAAATGCATGTTAATTTCAGATATGTTAACATGTGAAACTGTATTCTAAAATAGGATGATTTCACTAAATCTTTTTGGGGTGTCATGATTCAGTGTTTTTCCCTAGCCCAGTGAGGTACAAAATGCCATCCATTTTAACTTACATTTTTATTGTTAATGAAGTTGAACATTTTCAGTATTTATTGGAGCATTTTTTTAGCAATTGTTATTAGGATCTTTAGTATTGAAATTAAAGGTGAGATTGTTTCTCATTGTATTAAGGTTTACCAAATTTTTCCTCAAAAGGAAACCACTTAATGTAGGTACTACTTGATTTTTTTTTAATGTAATTTAAGTATTGCTGTCTGATATTTATGACATGTTAAGCTGTCATTCTTGAACTTGTACATTAGAATTACCAGGGAGCCTATTGAAATGTAGCTTCCTGGTCCTGTTGCAGAGTTTGAGTAATTCACTTTTTTTTTTTTTTTAATCCTCATCTGAGGATATTTTTTCCATTGATTTTGAGAGAGAGTGACAGAGAGAGGAGGGGGGAGAAGAGAGAGAGAGAGAAACTTTGACGTGAGAGAGACTCATCATGACTCATCAAGAGACTCAGCTCTTGCCCGAACTGGGGCCAGGTACCTGTAACCAAAGTATGTGCCCTTGACCAGGAATTGAACCTGCAGTTCTTCATCTGTGGGCTGACACTCTAACTACCGACCAAATGGGCCAGGGCCAGGGCCAGAGCCAGAGTTTGAGTAATTTAGTGTGGAGCGAGGTATAGGAATCTGTATTCATAACAAGTACCACAGGTTATAACCATGCTGAGAACCTGTGGAAGGTTATGAGGGAGGTAGAGCTACAGGTTTTCTGAGAACCTCTTTGGTAGGTAATACTGGCTGTAAGTTCATAGGAGTAGATACTTGGTTAGAACGCCATGGAAACTTGGTAATAAGCTGCTTTTAATGTTAGGAAGTGAGAAGGATTGTTGAGTATCATGTGTAGTTTTATCTTCTACAACAATTTGAAAAAAAGGAAAAAATGGAGATTTTTGTTGAGGTAATTCTTTTTCATTGGTATTCCTTTATTTTAAGGCTTTCTCAGTTCCTCTTAATGTCTAGAATAAACAGAGATTAAGTTAAAACAAGGTTTGATTAATTAGAATGTAAGCTCCATGAAGGAGATGTGTTCTTTCTTACAATCCATAGAGTTAAAACAGTACTTGGAACATGGCAGGCATTCAAGAATACTCGTATTTGTTGAACGTATGAGTATGCAGAACAGTTTTTCCATAACAGATACTCTTTTTAGAGAGTAAGAGTTTGCTTTGAATCACTTAAAATTGCCTATCAGGAGTTGCTGCAATTGATCTTACGTAAAATTTATATTAAACCTATGGATTTTTAGTTGAGGGTCATTTACTGTTAAAATGGTGGGGATGATTACGTCATTTATATTTTTTCCATATAAGTTGCATTTTAAATTTATAACTGGTGTTGCAAATAGAGCTCTTGCATTAAAAGCATTTTAATTTTCCTTTTAGGAGTTAACGGAGCAGTTTCATCAAGTTGAGTCTCAACTGAATAAACTAAATCATCTTCTCACTGATATTCTTGCTGATGTAAAGACAAAAAGGAAAATTTTGGCATCTGATAAACTGCATCAAATGGAAAGAGAATTATATGTATATTTTTGTAAAGATGAAGGTTATCTGAAGGAGATCGTGGAAAATTTAGAAAACCAATCCAAGATTAAGGCTGCTGATCCCAAAGACTGAAAATTACTGTCTACTGACTCTTGATTACATGTGCTGTGTCTTAATGTTTCACATCAGGGGGAGAGTACAGCTAATGAACACTAAGAATCTAAATCTGAGGCCAGTGGAGCATTTAATTTAATGAATTCAAGTATTGTATCAGTTTTTTTCTTTCTATAACATGTTTGTTCAGAGTCAGTGCTTAATATGACTTGAATATTTGCTTGGTGCCACTTAGTCCTGGTAACTTTGTCCTTACAAGAAAAACACATTACAGTAGCTGTCCCCTTATCTGCGGTTTTGCTTTCTGCTGTTTCAGTTACCTGCAGTCAACTATAGTCTGCAAATAGATGTGGAAAATTTCAGAAATAAACAGTTCATAAGTTTTTTTGTTATTTTTATTTTTATTTATTTTTTAAAAAATATATTTTACTGATTTTTTTACAGAGAGGAAGGGAGAGGGATAGAGAGTTAGAAACATCGATGAGAGAGAAACATCGACCAGCTGCCTCCTGTACACCTCCCACTGGAGATGTGCCCGCAACCAAGGTACATGCCCTTGACCGGAATCGAACCTGGGACCCTTGAGTCCACAGGCTGATGCTCTATCCACTAAGCCAAACCGGTTTTGTTATTTTTAAAAATACACATTTTTTTATTGATTTTAGAGATGAAGGTAGAGAGAGAGAGCGAGAGAGAGAGAAACATCAATGATGAGAGAGAACCATTTATCAGCTACCTCCTGCATCCCTCACCAGGGTTCAAGCCCACAACCCAGGCATGTGCCCTGACCAGGAATTGAACCGTGACCTGGTTCATAGGTCAATGCTCAACCACTGAGCTACGCCAGGTAGGCCAGTTCATAAGTTTTAAATTGTGTGCTGTTCTGAATAGTGTGATGAGATTTCACGCCCACCTGCTCTGTCTAGTCTGGGACGTGAATTATCCTGTTTTTTCAGCATGTCTACACTGTATGCTACCTGCCTGTTAGTCACTTAACTGTCTTGCTTGTCGGATCAGCTGTTACAGTGCTTGTGTGCAAGTCACCCTTACTTTACTTAATAGCCTCAAAGTGCAAGCGTAGTGATGCTGACAATTCAGATACGCCAAAGAGAAGACATACAATTCTTCCTTTAAGTGAAAATGTATGTATTGTAAAGGAAAAAGTGTGTGTATAGGGTTCTGGTTTTTTTTAATAGAGTTGTATCTCTCCTATATTAATTTTTTTTAGAAATAGAAATATTCTGCTGTTAAATGTTTTTAAATTTTGTAGAACTTTGAATCAGCATTGTTAAAGCTGTAAGCTTAATATATGGGATAGCTAAGTCTATATTTGACTGTAAAGTAAAATTCTGCCACTCTGACTGTATTCCCTCATCATTTTCTACTATAGACTTTGAGACTTAATGTTCTTACTTAGACCACAGCAAATGTCAAGTCTCCTTGGCCCATTGTTCATTTTACAGACTGGGTCCTGGGGCCTCAGAATTTCTGCCAGACATTTCAGCACTGCTTTAACTTCAGTGTGACTTACACATGAATGACTTTCCAATGAAATTTCAAAATTCCTTAGAAGTGCTTGCTCAAAGGATGCATAATGCTTTTTTAAAACAATCCTCACCCAAGGAGTGAGGATATTTTTTCCACTGATTCTAGAGAGAGTGGGAGGGAGGGAGGTGGGGAGAGAGGGAGAAATGAGGTGACAGAGACACATCAATTAGTTGCCTCCCACACACGCTGCTACTGGCAGTGGGGATTGAACCTGCAACCCAGGTACATGCTCTTGACCAGGAATCAAACCTGAGCTCCCCCCTCCCCTTGTGCAGGCGAGGCTTTAACCACTGAGCCACACCCACCAGGACAGGTGCATAATGCTATTTTAATTACTTTCTTTGGTGTGAAAAAAATGGACTGTAATAGTCGGGATACAAGTACACAGTATTTGAACAAATAGAAGAGTTGGTATGAAATAATTTGAAGTAGCTCATCACTTATTGCATCAAATGCTTCTTTAATGCCTGATTTATACATGGCCTCTCTTCTATACCATGTGAGTTTTATAGAAAGATACAGATATTACTTAAGAATGACCTGCTCTTGATATCTAAAAACCTATAATATGATCTTTATGGAATTTTCAGCCATAACTGTCAGAAAATGGGTTGCATAGGTGACAGATGAGCCCTGATAATTTTTGTAATGCATTGAACAAAACTGTTTTGCCAATTATTGTATGTGTACATTATTTAAAATTTATGAAGTAAATCTTAATATGCTTGAAAAACATTTTCCCCCGATTCTACCTTGGACTAGGTAATGAAAAATTTTCTTTTCTCCAGCAATATGGAAAAGTATGTCACCTGTTTCCTGGTTAATGAAGTAAATTCTGTTAAGATTAGTGCCAAATATGTTAGATGACCAACCAGCTATTTGGTGATTTGTTCTGTGGCTTCCAGACCTTCATGTTCTCAGCCCAAGGGGCCCAGTATAGCTGAGCAGAGGGAGTGAAAGGATGTCAGGTGGTGTGTCATCATGCCAGTCAGTTAAAAATAACTATGTTATTAGGTTTGTATATTTGAAGACTATAATAACTGAAACTAGGAAGTATTCGAGTAAATTGCTTCACAAGTGGTTAACTAGAAAATACGTTCTTTGTTACTTATATATCACTAGAGGCCCAGTGCCTGAAATTCATGCACAGGTAGGGTCCCTGCCGGCTGCCGGCTGCCAGTCCGGGCTTCCCGTCCCTGGCTGCCGGCTGCTGGTGATCGTACTCCTGGTAGGTTGAACTCCCGAGGGGACACTGCATATTAGGCTTTTACAGATATAGATAATACCCCAAATGAGCCTCTAACCATTACTTAATTCTTACAATCCTATATGTAAAAGGGACAGTTTATATCTACTTGTGGTTTTTAATATAAAAATTTTTATGAAAGTACATAAAAAATTTCAGATTTCTTGTTTCTTATTTTGAAGGCTCAAAATTAATATATAAGTATTATGTTTATCTTATGTTTAGGATTTTATGAAAATGGAAAATTATGAGGCATTTGTAGGCTTTGATCTCTGTCAGATGCCACTTTCCAGTGTTGCTCAGAAGATTATGTCTGCTATGCATTCAGGTGATTTAGTGGAGTCTAAGAATTGGAGAGAGAGTGAAAAGAGTGAGTAATATTTATGAACCTTTCTGTCATTTGTTACTTTGGTGTTATTAATTCTTAAGACTAAGAGTTTGAAAATGAAATGTAGCAAAATTATTCTATAAAACTTAAATTGTGTGGGGAAGCTCCTGCCTACGAACAAGTGGCGTCCAGCTTTCCCTCACTTTACTTGCGTTCAATGATGACTGAGCTGCTGCTCCCTTAGCCCTTGTTTTTCAGTGTAACACTTCCTTGCCCCAGGCACTGCTGTCAGACATTCCCTTAGATCTCATCAGCTGTAAGTAACTTTAAAAGACATGGGCTCCTCCACAGTGCTTGTGCTTTAGCCTTAGCTCTCAAGTCATTGAACCTGTACACAGTACACCCAGCCCTCCATATCTGCAGTTCAACCAACTGCAGATAGAAATATTAGCAAAAAATTAAAATCCCAGAAAATTCCAGAAAGCAGCAAAACTTGAGTTTGACATGCACCCAGTACTATGTTGAGTCCTCCCAAATAAAATGATGTGTAGGCATACCCTGCTGTGGTCTTTATGCCAGCATAGGTTATATGTAAATACTATGGCATTTTATGTAAGGGATTTGAGTATCCATGGATTTTGGTAGCCCTGGGAGTCCTGGAACCCATCCCCTAATGATACTGGATGACTGTATTTGCTTACTGTATATGGTGGACAAGAGAAGTGTTTGTTTGTTTTTGTTTTCTAAGTTTTTTTGTGAATCCTCACCCGAGGATATTTTCTCCATTGATTTATTTTTTAAGAGGGAGGGAGAAAGAGAGAAACATTGATAAGAGAGACATCAATTGGTTGCCACCTGCATGTTCCCTGATGGGGACTGGGGATCGAACCTGCAACCCAGGTACGTGCCCTTGACCAGGAATCAAACCCGAGACCCTCTGTCTGCAGGCCAATGTTCTAACAACCACTGAACCAAACCTGCCAGGGCAAGAAGTGTTTTTGACGATTATATAAATATATATATATATATAGTACTGACATAGAAGTATGTAAACTCTTAGGGGGCAAAGGTTGGTGAATCTTTGTATATATATTCATGATGTGGTATAATATTAAAAGCTGTGACATGCTCATAAATGTGACTGAAATGTTTGGAACACTTTTCACTAGCAAAATAGTTTTTATTTTAAATTTGTAAGTCTGGGCCAATAGGTTGTTTGTGTCTTTTCTCCAGAGTAAGTTATAAGTGACTGAGATATAATTGAGTAATTATATTGAGATGAAATAATTGAGAGTATTGACAAACAGTGCAAACACTGTTATAAATGCAGTTTCTTAATTAAGATATAATCGCACTTAACACTTCGCTCCATTTATATTCAGGCATCTGTTGCTTGTGTGTCTTATAAAAGTTACGAATAAAGTAACTGGTAAGGATTTTTGTTTGTGGACTACATACCTAGTGTTTTAGGGGGATGATGCTGGTGGTGGGAATAGTAACAAAAGACAAAAAGTTAATCATTGAAGAGCTTTCTCCTTTATTCTGTATAGATTTGTTCCGGGAGCCGGTCCATGCTTGCTGTTTCAAGGGACCTGGCATATATGGCATACTGTTCTTAATATGTTTGCTCACCTTCTTGGCACTATGTGTTTTAACCAAGGTCTCTGAGAAAGGTTGTTTCCCCAGGTAGGGATTTTCCCCTGAAGTTAGGGAGGGAATAAAACCTCTTAACTAAGTGCTAGGTGGGTAATTAATCACTTTAACTACGAAAAATCATGCTTAAGCTACATAATCTTTACTCCCTGGAATGGAGATAAGAAACTCCCTAACCTTTGAAATAGAGATTGATAGGATTGAATCAACTGGTATAAATACAGATGTAATAAGACAGCAAGACACAGAACTTAGAATACGGAACCAAGAGAGACAGAACCTAGGCACAGAACCTACACAGAACGTTCTCTAGAGACAGAAGAACTTCACTGGAGAGAACATGGCAAAAGATACTGGACAGAAACTGGCCTCAGAACCTAGAGACAGAACCTAGCGAGAGAACATGGCAAAAGATCCTGGACTGAACCTGACTACAGAAATTGGCAAGAGAACCTGACTAGAACCTGGTGACTGAACCTGGCTGGAGAACCTGGACAGAACCTGGCTGGGGAACCTAGCAAGAGAACATGGACACAGAACCTGGCTGGAGATCCTAAGCAGAACCTCTCTGGAGATCGAGACCAGAACTTGGCTGGAGATCCTGGCTAGGCTGCTGATCAACTGAACGCTGTCTCCGTGTCATTCCTTCTTCGCCGACTCCGTCCACACCTTTGGGAACCCCTGGACATGCTGGGGTTGGACCCCGGCATATGGCGCCCGAACAGGGACCCCTAGGTAAGCGCCCGGCACTCGGGACGGATAGGACTCCACCATAGGAAGAGGGTGGATAGTCTTCGCCGACTCCGTCCACACCTATTGGGAACCCCTGGACCCGCTGGGGTTGGACCCCGGCAGATTTGCTTCCTAAAAGGCAGTGTGCACTTACAGGTGGAATTGTGCCCCTTTAGTAACGGGTCAGGAAATGCCACTAGTAGGTAGTTACAACGGGAGTCTCTGGAGGAAAATTTCACCCAGCTCACAAACTCTCTCGTCATAGTCTTAAAACACCCTGTTAGATCCCTAGTTTTTATAAATTTATTGAGAAGACAGATAATAGAAAAATAAGTTTTTATTTTTTGTCAGGTGTTTTTGATTTGGAAAAAGTGGGTTTTCACAAGGATTCTGTTATCTGTTGTCAGGTAACACCATCACTGCAAACTTAGTGACTAAAAACAACACATTTGATATCTCACAGTTTTTGTGGGTTGGGAGCCGGGCACAGCTTAGAGGAGGCATCTGCAAGGCTATGGTGCAGGTGTCAGCCAGACCTGGAGTCTCATCTGAGGCTCAAATGAAGCATTCGCTTCCAAGTTCACACGGCAGAATTCACTTCTTGGCAGAATTCAGTTCCTTTTACGTAATTATGACCATAGGCACCTTTTCATCATATAGGCGCTTGCTTTTTCAAAGCCAGCAAGAGTGTGTCCCTAGCAAGACTGACATTAGTTTTATGTGGCATAATCACAAATATCCTGTCCTTTATTCTGTTGTTTAGAAGTGAGTCAGCAAGTCGCATCTGCACTTGGGGGAAGGAGTTTACAGGGACATGAATACTAGGAGGCATGGGTCATGGGACCGACCACCTTAGAGTCTGTCTGCCACTGAGTCTCACCAGTTTTATTTCACCAGAGGCCCGGTGCACAAATTTGTGCACTAGTGGGGTCCCTTGGTCTGGCCTGCAGGATTGAGCTGAAACCAGCTCTCTGACATCCCCTGAGGGCTCCCTGATTGCAAGAGGGCGCAGGCTAGGCCGAGGGACCCCACCGGTGCACAATTGGGGCCGGGGAGGGACGCAGGAGGTTGGCCAGCTGGGGAGGGGCCATGGGAGGGCTCGAGGGAGTGTCCAGCTCGTCTCTCTCAGTCCTGATCAGCTGGACCCCAGCAGCAAGCTCACCTACCAGCCCCCTGGTGGTCAGTGCGCATCATCGCGAGCAACTGAGTGGCCTTAGCATATCATTAGCATATTACACTTTGGTTGACTGGACGACCGGACACTTGGCATATTAGGCTTTTATTATATAGGATAGGAATTTGAATTAAAGTTGGATTGCTTGTGGGTTACTGATGAATGATGCTGGATGTAAGACCTAATGATTCTTGGGTTCTTTGTCACATGCTGTGCTGTTCTTATCTCTTAAAAGCATTTAACTTCTGAAAACGCATTTCATACCAAGTACATACCAAACTTGCACTCAGAAATCAATGAGAATAAGCTACAGCCCTAACTAGTTTGGCTCAGTGGATAGAGCAGTGATGGTGAACTTATGACACGCGTGTCAGAGGTGACATGCGAACTCATTTTTTTGGTTGATTTTTCTTTGTTAAATGGCATTTAAATATATAAAATAAATATCAAAAATATAAATCTTTGTTTTACTATGGTTGCAAATATCAAAAAATTTCTATATGTGACACGGCACCAGAGTTAAGTTAGGGTTTTTCAAGATGCTGACACACCGAGCTCAAAAAGTTCGCCATCACTGGGATAGAGTGTCGGCCTACGGAATGAAGGGTCCCAGGTTCAATTCCGGTCAAGGGCATGTACCTTGGTTGCAGGCACATCCCCAGTAGGAGGTGTGCAGGAGGCAGCTGATTGATGTTTCTCTCTCATCGATGTTTCTAACTCTCTATCCCTCTCTCTTCCTCTCTGTAAAAAATCAATAAAATACATAATTTTTAAAAAGCTACAAATACTTGGTTTATAAACACTAAAGTAAAAGCAAACATTATTGTTATATGTCACTTTGGGGTCTACTTTTCTGATCTGCTAAACTACTTGAGGTACCTTGAGATACATATTCAGTAAGGATTGGACTGCATAAACTTTTTGCAAGATTGATCTCTTATTTTAAAACCCTTTGCCGAGAGGAAGAAAAAAAGATGCAAAAACTAAAAATACGACTTAATACCCTCTCCTTGCTCAGCAGTAACCATTATCCTGACGTTTTATGGCAACCTTTTCTCATGTCTTAATCACGGGCATTTTGTATTGCTCCAAAAGCCTTTTGGCAAAAACTATGTGTTTGCCACACCAGAGTCCTTCCGTTCTGCGGCACACGATCAGACTGCATGGCTCAGTCTTCTTACGGTCAGGTGTGGCCAAGTGGCAGGTTCCTGTCAGTGGTACGTGCGTGCCATTTCCAGGGTAGGCCTGAGAACATCCAGTTTGCTTCCTAGCTGGCCACCTCTTGCCTTCCCTCCAGTTGCAACCTGAAACAACTCCTTCCCAGCCCTGCAGATGATAACAGTATCCTAGCGGATCGTGGAACTCCATGTTGGACAGAAGTGGGTCCCAGAGTTTTTTCATGAGCAGCTGCACCACCAGCTGAGGCTACTCACCTCGACCTGAGAAATAAACCTGCTCTTTGTTCTTTAAGCCATTATATTGT